GGCCGCCTTCACCCGTCCGTCGTGTGTTTTGCAGCGATGATGGAGGAGTCGAAGCTGACGCGTTCCCAGCAGCGATACCTGATGGACTGCGTGGAACGTGAGTGGCGGGCTTCTCACTCTCAAAAAAAAGCTGTGCTGGGGTGAAGAACTCTTGCTGCTCACTGAGACGGGAGCATTCGCCTGTAGCCAGGTTGCATGGGCAAAGTGCTTTAAAAGAGCAGCACGGCTGCTGCTGACACACGGGGACATACAGGGTGAGGTGTCCCCAAGGGTCATCCAGCAAACAAGACACAATGGCATGACTTGAACCAGAGTGTCACATCTCATGTCAATGTGTACCAACAATCAGGGTGAGACATCTGTGGCACCTGGGGTCTTTGCTTGTCCTACAGTGGATCACCAGGCTTGGTGGTAGCCCAGGACCATCCATCCAGGCTCCTTTCTGTCTGACTTATCAGTATTTTTGGTTTGTTCTCCAGGAGGAGGTACCCTGCCCCTTCAGTGCCACCGCACATCCAGCAAAGAGCCAGCACCTGCAGCACCTGCTTTCTCGCTGGCGGTTTGTCAGCTGAGCAGGCTTTCAGCTAGACCACATCTCCGACCTGCCAATGTCTGCCAGGCAGGAGATGCCTACACCCGAGAGAAATTCAAGCCACAGGCAACACGTAAGTCAGCAAACACCACTAATAATTAAATAAATAAATTATGCCGCCCAGTCCCTCTCTTCTCCTTACATCCATCCTCTGCCTGCAATCTTAGCAGCCGTAGGAAGAATCTTAGTCGCTTTTCATCCTCTTGCTGTCTGTTTTCAAAGATGCTTTAAAAATGGATCTCTGAGGGAACATCTACTGTAAGTGCTCACTGACTTCTGCCTGCTGGCCAGGGGGGTGATAGGTGACAGGGATTCACACAATGCTAGCATAAGAAGGGAGTGCTAGGCAATTTTCTAGCTTATAAATGTGAATAGAACCTCTGATGTCAGTTTGGTTGGCTCTTTACCACGGGGTACACCTGTGCGGTGCTTGCGCATTCCAGTCTGGGGATGGGCTGTCATTAACATAACGCTTCCTCTGGCATCATTATCAGGGAAGCAGTGTGGCCAGGCTCCTCTCTGAGGAGACAGGCTGATAATAATTTATTTCCCCCTTGGCATTCACAGGAGATTTGGAAAAGGAGAAGCAAAGGCTCCAAAATATCTTAGTGACGGGGAAGGATGAGGTGGAACACAAGGCGAAGCAGAAGCTGCTTCAGACAAAGGAAGAGGAGATACCTGAGCCAGACCGGTTTGAAGAATGTACGTCTTTATGTATCCCGGAGGAAGGCAGGAGGGAAGCCTGGGAAACCGGCTCCCTCCGAGGGCCAGGGTGGCAGGCCATGTTGCCAGTAACCTGAAGCCCGTTGCGGAAGGAGGCACAAAGCCCAGTTTCCAAGAGAAAAGACTTGCTGCTATGACACTGTGTGTGATCCAGCTGTCTTCACAGAGCTTATACTGCAGAGGTTTGCTGGCAGATTCAAGCTCCCTGGGCTGCCCACACAAAATGAACTCTGCTGGCAGGGGAATACCCTGGGGACACGCAGGGTGACCTGGGCAGGAAGCCCAGGTACTGTGGGTCCTTTTTCCAGGCAGAGTAACTCAGCATTGACTAGGACATTTGCCAGCCTGACTGTGGTTTGGGCTCTGTTTTCTTTCACTCTAAGATCAGAGCAGTTACACTAGCAAAGCTTAAATATCAAGCAGAATTTTAAGCAGTGATGGATTTTGGCCTGCAGAGTATTCTGGGATAGCAAAAACCTGCCTAATACCTCTCTGTGCTTGAATCTTCAGTGTGTGTACACCCCAGCCAGCCCTTCACTAGCCCAGGCAGCACAAAGGTGGACAACACTAGAATAATGTGTACAGAAGGGGTGCTTTGGTCCCTGCTGCAGGAAAGCCAGCACAGCTGGTTTCACATGCACTTTGTATCCTCTAAAACTTGTCACAAGCTGACAGGTTGTTGTCCTTGACACATCTGAAATATCTGTATATTTTACACTGTGGCAAGGTTTGGACCAGCTGGCTGTAGGTCTGTGCTATAAAGTGGCAGCTGATCTTCTTCTGTGCCTGTGCTGGTCCTGGGAGCAGAGAAGGTTGTGGTCACTGGGTGCTGTATTTCAACTAACAAACCTCAACAATTTTAAGCAGGTTCTGTCTATGTCCACAGACTGGTTAAATTGCCCACAAGCAACAGAGAATTGTCTGTACAAAGAAAACTAGAAAGTTACCATTCCTGCAAGAGGGGGTGGGGTAAGAAGATGAGCAGGGGGGACATTTCCCATTGCACAAGGGACTACTGATGTGTTTGGTTATGATATGATGAAGATAAGCGTTACAGCAGACATCACCCTTCCTCTGATGGTACCACTTTTCAAGCAGAGATAGGAAATTGTGGTTCAGATCTAGACAGAAACATGTTTTCTTGCCTTTCGTCTGAATCCCGTTTCCACAGTGTTTTCTCTTATCTGTCAGTGGTGAATGAAGTTCAGGAGAGGAGGGAATTCCTGGCAGAGATGGAAGCTCTAGGACAGGGCAAGAAGTATCAAAGGATTATCCTCACTGAAATCTCGCAGGTACGCAAGGGCCCTAGCGGCATTGGTCGTACAGCACTTGGAGGGAATCCCCAGCACAGAGGCCTTAAAGCAGAGTCTCCTCTGATCCCTGCGCAGGGAAGGGGGCAATAAACTGAGTGTTTCCCTTCGTGGTACAGGACAGGTGTGAACTTGAGAAATGGGCAATAGAGGTTTTCAGCATTTCTTTCCAGCTCTGTGTGCAACTTAATCAGGGAAATTGACCTTTTGTTCTTGGGATTAGCAAAAGAAGACAAAAAACGCTGCTGGCTTTCTCTCTGCTCAGCCCTTCTCCTTTGTACTTGGCAGAAACTTTGTGAGATGGAGATCATCGACAAGAAGAGAAGTGAGGAAATGAGACAGATCATGACAAAGGATTGCCCTGGTGGGAACAAATCCAATCCCCACAACTAGGCCAGGGGAAAAACACAAGTGCAATTTGTTCCCAGCTCTTCTTCCCAGACTCTCAGCACTGGAGTCTCAAGGGCTGGTCTGTGCCTGTGCACGAAGCTGGGCAGCACCACCTGTTCCCTAAAGCCAGAGGGCAGGAGCAATTTGTACATAACTGGCAAAAGAAGGAAGCTGTTGTAAAATCCTGCCCATGCACTGGATCCCTTCTTGCTCAATGATATTAAAGAGATGAAAACACACAGCAGCAGTTACTAAAACACAACAAAGCAGAGCCTCCTTTTGCCTTATGCAATGCCTCAGAGTACAGCAATCCACCGATAAAAACGTCACTCCTTTCCATCCACCCAGGAGATGGAAGTTTCTTGGGACAGCATGATGCTAACACACATGTTGCCACCCACATCCACGACCCACTCCTGTCCCCATGACTCTGGGAATAGCTGTGCTGGCAGGAGGAAGAGGCAGCCTCCTGGCCTTGCGCAAACACGACCCTCTGGCATCGCTGCGGGTCAGTGTGACTGTGTGTGTGCATCAGCAAACTTCTCCGTGGCAGTTGAACTGGGCAGGCGCTCAAGAACATTGCTGCACTGAGGAGGCAGAGGGGATTTCAGCCCAGCACATGCTGCTCTTTGTTGCAGACTTGCTGTGGTTTTTTGTTTCCTGAAAGCATGATATGCAGAACAGTCTCCCACAGAGCCTGGAAATGGCTGTTTGCTCACCTCATACATACCTCCACCTGTCCTCCAGCAGGCTGAAGCATGATGCCTCCCTACTCCTGTGTAAATCCCAGCATAAAGTCCACCTCCCAATTTCCTGAAGATCCCATCATCTGCTTCTTAGCAATACTCTTGTCAGCCACTCCCCAAAGCCAGGCAGCATGCCGTGTCCCTGGGACAGTGCAAGTGCACAAAGGAATCAGAAACATAAGGCACAATTGGTTTTTAAATCCAATGTTTTATTTCTGATCAGGTGAATGGAAGTCATGGAGTTAGTACAGCATAATTTACAAATCAGAGTTCTGACCAGGCACAGGGTCAAGGGGTGTCAGGCTGCAGCAATCCCAATGGCCTTTGGCAACACTGGCACGACAGCAGGCGCTAAAGTGGATTTGTTTCTCCTTGGAGAAGAGTTGTGCTTTGGGATCTCCCCTCCCCTACCACTGCTCCTCATCAGCCTGCTGGGGTATGGCGAGAGTGAGATGGTGTCACCAGTGCAGGGCTGAGATTGCCACCTCCCAGCCACGGGGGCCACGCTGGGGCCAAGGAGGGGCTCATTTTTTGGGAAAGGAAGATCCTTTCCGGAATGCTATGCCAGCCACCTTGCAAGGCACTGCTCTGAGAGCGTTTTGGCTAAAGCCTATTGGGTTTTTAGAAGGGACTGCAGCAGTTTGCTCAGGGCTGGTATGTCTAATTTGCTAATGAGAAGGCATGATGAACAGCTGACCAACCAAGCACCCATGAAACTAATTCAGACTGATGCAACAATTCAATAAATAGCTCCACACCTTTGAGGAGAAGGCAGGAAACAAAAATGGAAAGAAGGGATGGTTGGAAGGACACTACCCCCCCATTCCCTCCTTCAATGTACACACACACACACAGACACACAACAAATAAAATAAGAGGGTTTAAAAGTTTTAGGGTGGGTTTGAATTCTTCTAGTAAAGGAGGTGTAAAAATATAATCAGCCAAACCCTTTCTGCACACTTTTAAAGTTTACACAGATAAAGCTGGGTAAGGGTCAGTTGTGACCATGCCTCTCTCCCCAGCCGCTCAAGGGTGGCACAGGCGAGCAGGGGCAAAAGCTTAGTGCACCTTGCCAGCACCAGCATGGACTCAGTCTTGAGCTTTTCTGCTCTTGCCTGGAAAAGGAACGTTCCTCCCTCCCCCCAAAGGCAGCAGAGTCAGTGGTGTTTAGCAGCAGTGGGGGATAAGATGTCCTGAGTAGGGCACGTGAGCTACATCCTAGCAGCTGTACACCATCCCCTTGGGTCCTCTCAGCCCTGTAACAGAGCCCACCCAGCCCTGGCACTTGTGGGGTCAGCTCAAAATAAATAGGGCACCAGTTATTTTTTTGGCTATGGCTCTGGAGCCTTGTGATGCAGGAGTGTTTTCTTGACATTTTAGTTTAGGCCAGTAAAACCCAAAGAATCCTGATTCTAATGCCAGAGTTTTCTCCTGAAGTTAAAAATGGGACAGAAAGGGGACAAGAGCAGGTGGGCAGGGAGGGACAGGCAGACCCAGTCCCCTCCTGGCAGAGGTCAGAGGCACGTGGAACTGTCACAGTCAGAGCGGGAGAAGGGACAGGGGGCAGTTAGTGCAAGTTTTCCCACAAACACCACACTCCTTGGCTTGCTTCTCAGTTAATAATGAGAACACGCAGTGGGGTCGCGCATCCAAAAAGCGAGTCCATCTTCTCCCCGCCTCGTTAGCAGGCTTCACAGAGGGCACGGTCATGCTCCTCTGCAGCCTCCAGAAGGGGAGTGCTTTGGTTGTACTCCTCCACTCCAGGTAGAGGGCTGGTGTCTCCTTGGGGTGGCAGCTCTGGTGGCTGGGGAGGGAGTGGGGGGAGGCAAGGGAAACAGAGGGAGACAAGCCCCCCTTCCTGGTAGGCATCCCAGCCAGCTGCAGGGAGGCGAGGGCAGTCGGGCAGCACATCCCTCCCACTGCTGGTGTTCCCCTGCTCTAGCTTTTCTCCTTGGGTGACTTGCTCTTGGAGTCATGCTTGTTGCCCAGCAGTTTAAGCACCTTCATTGGCTTGAATTTGCCTTTCTTCTTGCTCTCGGTCTCCATCTCCTTGTGAAACTCTGGGGTTGCAAAGAGAGATTGTTACCACAGGGTGCTGATGGTTGTACGCATGCATGCACGCACGAGAACACAGGCAAGGGTGAGAGTCATGAATCAAAGCCCTCCACTGTATGCACACTTCTTCCTGTGATAACAGGGGTGTGCTGCACAACCATGCCCAAAACTTTAACAGCCTGACAGGAAAGGCTCCAGAGTCTACACAGAATAGATTTAATCTCTCCTTCTGCACACAATTTTACGAATGGCTTATGCTGCCCCTCGCTGGGGTCATCAGTAAAAACACCCCAAAAATCTTCCCGATTGTTTCTTACCTTTCCTTTTAATCATGGCTTCCAACATTTTATCCTCCTCCTCTTCTCTGAAAGAGTGGGAAACAGGTCAGCAATTCAGCCCTGAAAACAGCTGCTGTATTGTTTAAGGCTAGAAGAACCTCCTCCTACTTGTAAGCCACAGAGGGGCAGTTCCATCACTGTCTTGTGAACATTTGCTACCAGCAGGATAAATCCCACATGCTGCAAGTACTGCCTTGTTTTTCCCACACAAGGCATTCAAACAGACAAGGACTGGGAAGCCTGAGAAAGACATCAGCAACAGGGACACCTTGGGACACCCCCACAAGCCACTCGTGTGGCACTGAGTCAAACAGGCTACACTTTTCCCCTCTCCCCAAGCCCACGCTACTCCTCACTCACCTCTGCCGGTCCTCGTCCAGGCAGTTCACAATGGCATTCCTCTGCTCGATGATGGTCACCAGCTCCTGCATCAGCACCTTCTCCCTCCCTCGGTCCTCATCAGTCCAGTCCTTCTCTACCCAGCCAAACCCCGAGGAAGGACATGCAATTAAAAGACGAAGGAGGTCTGAAATTCTGAGCTTAGGGGCAGAGATGCCCTAGCCTGATCCTCTGCTACCCTGCCATGCTGCTGGGTCAGTTGGGCTAGAAGTGCTGTGGAAGGAGAGCCCTGTAGGTGGCATCCCATGGGGACAAAGGGAACACATTCCTGCATGAGCCTGGGGCATGCAATGAGAAGGGGCAGCTGCTCCAGAGCCAGCCAATTGTGCTGGCATCCCTAAAGATCTGTCTCTCTTTGCATGAGACCCACCGAGACAGAGGGGGAAAGAAGCCCAGGGGGAAAATGGAGCTAGCTACACACAGAGTGATGCTTTACCTGGCTTGTTGAGGAGGCAACGCAGTTCATACTCCACGTCCGACTGCCGCTGCTCCAGGTTCTGCTGCTTGAAGCTGCAAGGGAAGGGGCCACTGCTGGAAACCACTGCAAGGCTCCAGAGAGGCAGAACATCATCCCAGGGTATGTGAGAGCTTGGAAAGAACCACCAAGATGCTGATCTTATCCCGTATAGCCAAAGCGCCCAGGATCCAAGCGCCAGCCGGGACCAGCCCTGGCTGCTCAAAGGCTTCCTGGAGGAGATGCTGCAGGGGCTCTGGTGACTCGCAGTGGGTCAGTTCTGAGTGTGTTTAGATACATTCGTCTACTTGCCCTTTTTCCCTCCCTTCTCCAGGCAAGGAGGCCATGTCAGGCTCTCCCCCGGAAGCACAATTTCATGAGGGCTGAGACAGGGCTCCCTGCAACAGCATCAGTGCCTCCCCACACGCTTGCACACACTTACATGTAGATGAGCTCCGATTCGTGGCGCACCAGCATGTGCTTCTCATGGATGAGTTTGAACCAGTCCACCAGCAGAGCGTCCTCAGGGCTGTCTGCCAAGCAAAGGGACAATTCAGAGCCATCCCCAGCCCTGCAGGATCCCACCACCCTGCAGCAGGATGGGCTCTGCCAAGCCAGGAGAGGGGGCACTGGGCTAAAGCCAACGTGACCTCAGCCTGTTCCTGAGACCCCGTGACACCTTCTCTCTTCTCCTACCTGTTCCTACCCTAGGGACATCTCCATGTCCCAAGTATGGCTGTGACCATCTTGGAGCCCAGCACAGTCCCTTGCGCTCTTCCAACTTCGGCATCAGCAGGGAGGAAGTCACAGCTGCTCTCTCCTTGGCTGGACACAACACAGCCCTAGGGTCCATCCTCCCCCACACCCACAGCCAGCCCACCCCACATACCATTCTCAGCACTGCGAAGTTTTTCCTCCAAGGCCACCCCACGGTGCTCCAGCTGGTCCAGCTGGTGCTCAATGGCATCCATCTCCCCATAGATATCTTCCTCAGGGATGTACTGATCTGTC